AACAACAACAACAGCAACAACAACAACAGCAACAACAACGACAGCAGCAACAACGACAACAACAGCAACAACAACTTTTTCGATGTGGTACCCCCTATTATCATCAGGATTGTCATTCATATCTGCAGGAGAATTGTTATCCTGAATACAATCATCGTAATCTTACATCAATTTTATATCCTACTAAATCAACAACTAATCTTCCGGAATGCATTTCATCATTGCAATCAACACATTTAAATCAGTATAACTTTATGGATGCAATCAGTGTACAATGTATTGATTCCAGTCAATCAATTCCGGTACAAATGTCAACAACCTCTAAATTCCATTCAACATCAAATATTTCAACAAATACTATTATGCCTTTACTACCCATTGGTTTTCAGTTGTGAAATCTTTTTATATTTTATAGAATTAAACGTAATCATACTTATTGCAATTAAATATATGATTTATTGAATTGGTAATTGTAGTTTAAAATGTTGGAATTTGAGTAAACTTTAACTTCAGAATATAAAATTACATCAGACAAGTGTATCCTATGCTGTGTTTGTTAAAATTTACCGGTGAATTGTGATATTGAACAATGTTAAATTATTGAAATGAAAATGTTAGGATGAATTACTTACCACCCAAAATTTTCATTTATTAAAATAAACTGTTTGATTCTTTGGATGAAATATTAATCCATTAAAATTATTAATTTCATATTTTTATATGCAATTTTTTTTCTTCTTCATTCAACATATATTGTTATGCACAGTATTGTCATATCATTGATAATAAGTATCGAAATGTAAACATGCGTTTTTATCTTTCATTGTTTTAAATTTCAAAAAATTATATAGCTAATAAACTTCAAAATTTAAAAAAAATTAAATTACATGACTGAGAATTGATAAAAAAATGCCAAATTAAAAAAATATAATTAATTGGAATCAAAAGATTTAAAATTTTCGATATTTTATATCTCTATTTGAGTAATTACTTTTGATCTTCCTAACAAGGTGTATATAATCTTAAATACACATGAATGAATCACACAGAGGGATTGTAAAATGGAAACAATTAGGTAAAATAAAACAATGATTGTATTAATTGCTACTCCAAAATTCCCTTTCATAAACATCAAAGCTTACAATTATGCAACAATTAATTTGATTCCAAAATAATAACCATAAGAAGAATTCCCATGATATTACCATCATTTTTCTTCTATCTATTCGTTATTCATTCATTCATTTCATTCTCTATCATTGTATTATTGGTTATAATAGATTTTAGGCCACTTTAATTACAATATACAATTCTCAACTACATCATCATCTAATGATAATTAGAAAACTAATTTCATCAAGATTTAGCAATTCCAATAGCAAAAAATTCGAAAGGGTCTGCACCTGATGAAATGATTTAGAATGAATTAGTGAATTAAAAAGTTATCTTTCCGCATCTTAGCAATTTTGATATTTGAACAGTTATTGAAAATTAGAATTCATCGTTGATAATTTAACAGAAGAAAACAACTTCTTCAACCATTCTCTCTTAGAATGGGATGGTTGTTTAACTTATATTAATCCATTGCAAACTATTTTAGTGTGGCCAGTTACTAATACTATCAATGTGCTGTTAATAATTTGTCCATGTTTAAGGATAATTGCAATAATTATGCGGGTTGCATACTAACTTCATGACTAATATATTACCTATCCGACGGCTGATTGACAAGCTGCCATACACTATCCGATCATTTATGCTTCATCTTAAATTGAATTTTCAATAACATTCTTTCTCGTTTTGTTTGGAATATTGAAAATTTTTAAGTAACAGAAACTCAATCTTCACTATGCGACATTTCCCAGTCTTTCTACGAACTGAATCAATCTTCCGTTGAGATTATACAACTTTTGCAACTAACACTCAATGAATAATTGAGAGAAAGCATTTTTTTTAAAATTCAAACAAATATATTTCATAAACAACAATAACAAAAAAACAAGTTAAAAAAATGACCACCGATTCATTTCTAACGAGAAAATTCATGTACTCCTGTCAGCTTCATTAATTAATTGATTAATTGAGATTGACTTATTAATTACTACAAAATTAAGAAAAAAACTCGCACTTCCAAGTCAAACTCTAGTTGTTTTAACAATTATCATTCCTGTTAGTTCAATAACTGATTATATTAAAACAACAACGTAATATTCTTCTTCCAGCTTTTAACGTTTTAAACGTATTAAGTATCATAACAATTCATTTCAATAGATCTACCTATTCACAACAATCTTAACTGATGAACTATGACAGAATGATCATTGCTCGCTGAAGCAAGTTCCCAAATATGATTATTTGTATCACCATTACTTAACCAAGATCCTTTTTTTGGACGAAATCTGAAAAAAAAAATTCTTAAATCTGTCATATTAAAATATGGCAAAATTTCCTTAGGTTTACGAATGATGTGAAAAAGTAACATTTCGATTTTCACAAAATATATTTATTTTCATTAATTAAATTACTGCTTCCTCCTTTATCACTAATAATAATGACACAGTACTTCAGTTTATTTATCGTTTCCGAATGAGCCAACCACCGTTTCAAGCTAATCACCGTATCACTACTATTAATGTCGTTTTGATCCAAGTTCCATTTTTCAATTTCGATTTCACCATTTTCAAAACCAATAGCCAGAATGTAGTGTCTAAAACTGAACAGTAACCCAACTTACTAAAACTACTATAGTTTCATTATTCACTTATTAAATTTGAAAAAAAAAACGTGCAAATTACAATATAATCAAACAGTTGCAGTGATTTAAAAAAACAGAAGAAACATGCACTTGTTCCATAATTCTGGTACAAAATCCACTGCTGTTACAGCATGCAAATGCATCCTTTCTGCAACAAGTTGGATGTCATTTCCATCAAAATACCAAAGACAGAACTGCAAATTTTCAAAATGATCAATTTATAATTGGAATAATGGATTTTCTTTTTAATTAGCATGACGTGATATTTGTGAATGACAACAACTTTTCGCTACAAAATTGTTCGATGCACTACCTTCTTATCTCTTGCTCCAGTCACGAAATATTTATCGTCCGGGGTCCACGCACAACACCAAATGATACGAGAATGCACTTTACTATATTTATGCTCTGACATCAACAGAAGTTTCCAATCAAAAGGATCTGAAAGAAGTTGCGATCTAACGTTTCGAACTTCAAAGTTTCAATTTAATAATCTTTTGACCAAATTCACGTAGATGAGTAATAATATATCATATATATTAAATACTGATAGGTAATTGGAAAAGATTGATGATTTATTGTGCCAATTTTTTGTCTTATTCAATATCTGAATTTCATCTCTTATTCCTGATTTGAAGTTAGAAATAAAACGGTAATTTGGTAAAACAAATTATTACCTTGCGAAGAGCAAATCCAAATAGCAAAAGTTCTATCCCGGGAAACAGAAAGAAGAAAAGAATCACTATTTGAGAAGGCCAACTGTGCGACGGTAAGCCTATGACACTGTAATTCGCATCGTCGTCTCCATTCCTTGCTGTCCCATATCATGATGACTGCGTTTTCAACACGACTTGCCTAAAATAAATGTAATTCGACCCTATCTTAAAATTCGACAAATTTGGAAGTTTCAGCAAAACTGCAAAATTTTTTAGACGTTTAAATCCAAAAAAATTAAATAAAGATTATATCACGAAAAAATACAAGTTCCTGAAAATCGCCTAGAATTCCAACTAATATTTGTACAAATCTGTGAATGATTCACAAACCTTGCATGAACTTGCAATAAGAGTACCAGAATGATTTGATGCAACCGTAAATAATTCAAATCCATGCCCATATAATTTGTGAATTTCTGGCCATAGTGTATCTTGCATTAAACATTCCTCAACAGGCACTCCTGAACGTCATTATTAAATGCTCAAATGATTCGCTCATAAAACTCATAAGTTCCTTATTATTAAAACATTCGTAAAACTACCCAGAGGAAGGGGACTTATAATAAAAACTATTGATAAAACTAACCCTTTATGAAAGCATCATCGCAATTCATTGCATTTGCAGTTGTCAAATTTTTTTTACCTCGAATATTTACATTATCGATTATCTTATTTGATAAACCTAATGCTGGAATGGCTGCATTGTGTCCGATAATTTGTGTCGGATCCGAAAATAGCTATAAAATTTTTGATATAAGGATTAGGTGATTTGTGCAAAATTTTATCAACTCTGAACTATATTTGTTTCCAAATTTCAAAAAAAGAGGTTTAAAAGTAAAATTTAAAAAGTACAACTATTCCACTACAAATCTGGTAATTCAAAAAAAGCACCTTCTGGCAATCATACTTTGAAACGGTCTTTAGCCTTTCGACGAAATTGCCTGGCGCAGCAAAAACACGAAGAATTTTCTCGTCGGCACCCGAGACAAAGCGACTACTGAAATCCATTAAATACAGTTAGGTATAATCAAAAAAAATTATTTACAAATTTTCATGACTTCACCAATCGAATAATACATAAACACATACCTTGAAATAGATGTAATGCTCATCAAATCATAACCGTGAACCTGTGGCCTTGCAATCTCGCATATTACACCCTACAAACTCTAAATTATTTTCCTTCCACTCTTTTCATCTCAATCAAGGATTTAGCAATTTTATTTTAATAAGAAAAATTTCGAGAAATTTTTGGAAAACCTCGGAGCAAAATTTGAAATTTACAAAACTAGAATACACATATTTCTTCGAATCAATCTTCGAAAAATATTAACTCAAAATGCGTAATATGATTGTCATTATTCGCTTGTGACTATTGAAAAACTTATATCTATCATAATTGGAGCAAAGGAACAAACATGGCTAATAGAAGGAGCATAACACCGGGTTGTTTGGTCATAGGAACATGATAACAAATAACTTCCAGTAGGATCCCAAGTGATATCTTTGACCTGCGCAGAGTGCCCGCCGAAAGTTGAAACACTTTTCCAATAACTGCTGTCTTCCTTTAAACATATATTTAAGATCAACTTCCGAACGATTCATTAAAAATTCATGTTTTAAAAGTTCTAAATCTTCACGAACTTACTTTTTGCATTTTCCACGAGCAAAAGCCACCAAAATATGAATAAGCAAGGATTGTATAACCATCGGGAGAAAAACAAGCCCCAAAGAAACCAACTGCTTGTCCACCAACATCACCGACACGTATCTAAATAAATTTATTTATAATCTGATTAATAATTGTAGATATGATCCAACATACTCAAAATAGATCTGGTTTTAATAAAACTGTTTAGAAATGGATTATAGTGAAAGAAAAATTAAAAACCTAAACCGCTAGTTCCTCTCTATCTTTTATCTATTCTTTTACAATCATCTTCATTTTCCATCTTCTTCTTAACCATTATATACAATTATATTTATTGGACAGAATAACATTTAAACATACGAAGTCATTTTTAAATAAATATGAAATTAACATACAGAATCGAACCATAATCCAGTTTCGGATGGTTCCCATATGATTACTGTTTTGTCATTTGATGCACTTAAAAGTTGTAACTTGCTAGAATTCCACTCCACTGAATAGATCCAATCATCATGGGCGTTTAAAACACCTTCAAGGGTTACGTTCATCGCGTAAGTAACAGCTGAAAATACAAATATAATATTTTTTGTTTTTTCATTGCTCGACTTCCCTCCACTATTAATAATTTTTCATATCATCACCATAATATTTATGTTTTTTAAGTTCAATTGAGCTTCTTCAATAATCAAGAATTGCTGTATTGATATGGGCATAAAAATAATGCAACTGTATCTCTACTAATCATTTTGCCATGCTGATCCTGCAACAATTCAGTATTTGATATCCTTCTAAGATGATATTTAATAAAATCGAAAAGAATTTATTGCTTTTGTAATTATTAAAAATGAAAAGACCTTTAGTTTCTTCATCAAAGAACGTAAATTGAGCTTTTATTTGAGGATCACTATCAGTATACATTTCACTGCTTTGCAATAGATGAAAGCGCCAAAGACGGATATTTTCCTGCCCACCACTTGCTACCCAAATATCATTTTCGTACACTGAAAAACAATAAGAAACAAATATATTTTATTTTTTGACAAGAGTTAAAACAAAGTGGAGAAAGATGAATACTAAATTAAATTCAGAAAAAGCAATTAAGTGTTATTAACTTTCTCGGCTGTCTCTTTGTGACAATTTCTACAGAAGTAGGAACAGCTATTATCACAGAAATAAAATACATAATCATAAATAACAAGCATATCAAAATATAAGATCTTAAATAATGATTGGCAGCGTTAATAATGATTTACAATATAGTAAAATAAAAAATACATAAAAACTAGATCTTCTCTTTCTACATGAAAAAAAACTAATAAAATTCGCCTCTTATATCTATGCTGCAAACCCAGTCAGCATGTCCTTGAAGAGTTACGGCTTTTCGTAATTGTGAAGACTGAAAAGATAAAAAAGCATGTCAAACATAAATATATTTATGCCAACTAATCTGAACTGAAATATCAAAAATTCAACAATAATGTGTGAAAATGAAGAAAAACTTACAATATAAGCAAATTTGGCACAAATTACTTCAATATTACCGTTTGTTGTCCCCAAAATGAACAGCATATTGTCTGCAAAATTGTTTATAGTCATAATAAAAAAATAATTCGAAAAACAAGGCAAAGTAACTAAAAAAAGATTTACCACTTGATATAATGTAAATAGCAACAGAAACGATGAAAGCAGGTTGAAATATGATTCTGTCATAACTTTGCTTTTCCGTTCCCTCCAAGGATGCTCTATCGACAGCAATTTGTTCAGCCACTAGTGAACTATCAGGAATAGCATAAGCGACAATAATAATATCTTTATTCGCTTCGCTAAACACTGAACCGGCACAACAATTTATAGAACGTTTTGTTGCGGGATTTCCTAAAATTTTGAAATAGTTTTTAAACCTTCTAAAAAATCAATCGCAGATATTAATTGTTAATAATGAAACATGCCGTAATTGTTTCGAACATTATAATCAAAATTGTAAACTAAAGTTTAAAAAAGAAATTCATGCCAATATCATTGATTAACTTCGCTACAACTATTCTGCCTGATATTCGTATCGCCCATAAACGAACAGTTCCATCTGCCGCTCCTGTTATGAGATAATCCAAACCAAAAGCTAAAAACATCCTTTATTCGTATCAATCAAATAAAATATTTATTAAACCCAGCGTGAATTAATTACGTCAATAAATGAATTAAAATGACATCACAAATACAGTTGCGTGATATTCGAATTTTTAGATTGTATATTTATATTTTGGCATAGAAAATGAGTTGGATAAATTCTAGAAAATAATGAGATTTAAATAAACATACCAACAATTTAAGTATTTTTCGTTAATAATTTAAACTAAATCTTTAATGTAAGCAAAAGAGAACATTCTAAACGTGGTCAAGTAACTTACCGGTATAATGGCACCATGAAACAAATTTCAAACAAGTTATCGGAAAATCATGCGCCTTCACTGCATTTTGTATAGCTACACATTGGTTATTTTGCTGAAAAGACCAAATCTTTCTTTTCGTAGTACTATTCATTTAAAAGAATCAGTTATGATATGTCGAAATGGATTAATAATAAAGTATTAAGGATACAGAATAAAAGTGATGTTAGGTTGCAACTCAAGGACTGAAACTGTTTGTAGGTTAAAACTGCTCCAGTTGGCTAAAATTTGCGGTTACAAACATGCTATTTAGCACCAAAAATCCACCTTAAAAATAATGCTATCATATAATTATAAATTAACCATAAATTGAAACATTTATCAAAATGAGGATTTACTCAATTACCAATGATAATTTGTACACACAAAAACAGCAATTAGCTTTTAAAAGATTCATTTGAAATCATAAATATATTTTACTGAACCTATATTTAAATATATCTTACTAAACCTATCAGTAAATGAATTAATGTCTATTTTCTCAATCGCCAAAAAAGAAGAATAATCGGATAGAATTTATTTCCAAAGTATAAAAAAAAGCGACATCATTACCTTTGGAACCACAAAACAAACATTTCCTGCAGAAGCAAATACCACCACATTGATAACTTTAGACCACGCCAAACAATTTGTATATTTTTGGCATCCTCTGCCCATAAAAGTTATGCCGACCCCACATTCTGCCAGTTCCTTATCAACTGCATCCGTTTCCAGCGAACACTTCATATTTCCCTGATCACAACACAAGACGACTGCCACAATTCTTATTCGATATATAGACATAGACACATCTCTCTTCCCGATGCTACGAAACCGTTAACAGCTCACCTTCCTCTGTACCTAATTGGATTATATTTTCTGCTTCGATCTCAGTCTACATCTCAACATAATTCTTTTATTACCGATAAACAACCATTCCTCTTTCTTTCTCGTATTTGTTATATCCTAATGCCTTATTTCTTCGCTTCTTTCTAAAACATACCCATTCCTTAATGTGAGGATGAAAATCTCATACTTCACATGACAACTTGCTTACAATAATTTGCCTCGAGTTAATCCGACACAGACGACTGGAATCAGCAAAAAAAAAATTCCTTCTCTCAAGATCATAAAAGGAAAAGGTTTGAAAGCTATATATAGGAAAGATCACTGTGTGTATAACAATAATAAGTGTGATTAAATTTCAAAAAACACTATTTATTTCCAAAAATTCATCGCAAAAACAGAAATTATTATAACAATAAAATTAACGAAGACGACGGGCTTCTCTTTCTGCTTCCAATAATGTTAGAATATCGCCCTCTCGAACTGGTCCTTTTACGTTACGGATAATCGAACGATTTGAAGGATCATCGATGAAGTCAACAAGTACCTACAACTTGTATTGCTTACCTCCACATTGGTAAATTAATGACCAAAATTAGATTAAATTCAGAGTAATACACAGTGATTAAATTCAGAGTAATACACAGTGAGTAATGCTAAGACATTTCAGATTCCACGAAAACGATCAAATAACGATAAAAAAATATTGCACAAAAAATAAAGGAAGGAGATAAAGAGAAACAAATGAAGTGAACACATCTATTTTAAATTACTCCGCAGAAATATAATGGTTTCCAAAAAAAACATATTGCTCAAATGAAAACTTAGTAAACAAAGTATGGCACCAAAGATTTCAGAATTAAAAAGCTATGCCTGGAAACTTAACTTGGAACTTAATATTTCTCTTACATTTCCCTTTCAATTCTTTTATATTCTATCATCTTATACATATTCATCATCTCCTACATGCTCTAAACTTATCCCCCAAATTTTTATTACTTTTAGCCTTCCATTAATAATAACAACAAGATCGTCAAACCTGTGTACACTGTCCTTGTGAGCCAGTACGTCCAAGAATCTTCGTCACTTTTGCCAACTTCACTGGCTTATCCATTGTATAACCAAACAAGTTAGCCTATAAACATAGTCCATACAAGCAAATAGGGAAGTACGGTCAGCAATAGTAAATCGATCGTATCTTTTGTTACAAAATTGAATTTATATAAATGAATGAACAACATTTTTAAATAGCAAATATTCTACTTTCTCTCACTTCCTTCCTCGCATTCTTTTGTTTTTCTAGAGGCAAAACGAATCATGTGCATGAAAAACCTATCACAGGAGCCAAACCATAACGAGATTGACCGACGAACGAAGTAAGAGGACAGTAAACCCAAACCATACCGGCGGTCCGTTAAGCCACCAGTCATAGCCAAATGCAAAAGACTATCCCAACCTCTTCACTTATATCAACACCGATTAACTGCGCAAAACTGAACCTTCAATCATCAACTTCAGATGACAAAAGGCTTAAGTGTTCGAAACACGTCACAATGGTAACAGAAATCGCGGCTTCATAGGGACCAATTATCCGCATCAATTTCAACTTTCGTTCTCTCACGCAGTTTTCATATTATTCTCTGAATGCTTTTAATTTTGTGGGATGTTGAAAATGTTGCATGCAAAAGTTTATACGTATGAAAGTACATAACAACTCTGTTGAATGGCTTTTCCAATACAAAATTAATGAGATCATTTCCTTGTTCATTCTATGAATCATGATCTTTATTACTGCTCTCGTCACTTTCCGACTTGAAATCCTGAAACCAATTGATTTATTTTTTTCTTCTACTTTCTATCTTGAGAAATTCAACTGCTTAAAAGGAAAATAAAAATTACTTTTGGATTTAAATAAACAAATAATTACTAATAAATAATTAAACGATTAATTTCAGAAATTTAACTGTCAAGTAATTTGGAAACTAAGTAATTATTTGGCTCGTTCAAAAAGTAAATAATTGAATGGATACTTTATTCAACATATTAATCACAAATTTATCTGAACGATAACAACTCATCCCACGATATTTGTCACATAAGTTGCCAATTACTGGATATTAGTCTAAGGAATAAGCAAATGCATAACTTAGTTTGCTTACATTATTTCTAAGCATCAATTAGGAAACGATTAACCTATCTTATCCACTTGGCAGAATGTATGCCAATTATCAAACAATATAAACTAATGAACCTTCTTCTCTTCCTTTGACTCGTTGCTACTATCTGTATCGCTAATATATTCCTTCGATTTCGGCTTTGAATGTAGTTTAATAGGCGAACTAAATTTAATTTCCAAAAAAAACCGATCAAAAATATGCAAATACATAAGTACATACACAGACACTCAGATTTTTTCTCATTTTTGCATGTTAAAGTAACTAAATAATTTGAGACTTTTAAATAAGTTGCTTTTGGAAAATCTAAAAATCAGGATTCGGAAGTTTATCAATGGTAGGATATTTGAAAGTTGACGAACTCATACACTGTCTACCCAACAGCTTTTAAACATAAACAAGCAAGAAAAGGGGTTTGCATTACCTTGGTTTTGTTTTCCTAATTTTTTTAGTTAGACTTGTTGATGCGACTGAAGATGCAAGTTCTCTATTTGCAACGTATTCTTTCATCTCACGAACATATCTTTCTTTATCTTCTTTCGCTCTTTCTTCATATTTCTGAAATCAAATCAAATCTAGTTATGAAATAGTAAAAAAAGTGATCACTCGAAATTTAAATCCATAAAGGATCTCGAAAGATATGAAACCTTTTTAACTTCCTCATCGATTTCTTTCCACATTTTGCCAGCTCTTTGGGCTGCTTCCGTTACAGAGACTCCTTCTTTCTTAAAATTTGAGTAATTTTCACTAAACCAAATGAAATACGCCGATTGTGGCTTTTTCGGAGCATTTGGATCCTTCTTCCTTTTTTCTCGTCTAGCTGCCTTCGCAGATCTCGATGAATCCTATAAAAATTTGTCAGCTGAAACAAGTACTTGATGTTCACTTGTCTGTTGGTGCTTAGTACGTGGTTAAAAGGTAAAAAATGGAATGAAATTTTCGACCCTAATGTGTATACCACAATCTATTGAAATCAAAATTTTTCGCATCTCTATCCATACCGTTCAGATTCTTCGCAATGATCAACCAAAAGGCATATTATAATTCGAATATAAAAAATGGACTTTGTGATGGATGAAGAGATTTTTTAAAGCGACAAATTTAATTTGCTTTTAAACCACTGAACTCTGGAACTACCTTCTTCTTTGCTTTTGGAGATTTCTTCCTTTTGCGATCACCGGAACCACTTTCTGATGATTCAGCGGCATCACTATCGTACTCTTCCTCTGGTTCACTTCCTGATCCTTCCGATGAGCTTCGTTTTCTCTTTTTTAAATCTTCTTCTAGATCATAATCATCTGAAAAATTTTGGTAAATAAACATTAAAAATCAATTTAGTAGTAACTATTTCAAAATCATTTCTATACAATGCAGCTATCATGTATTGGTAGCCTACGCAAATTGCTCTATAATTAAGCTACATTACAACTGACTTAAACACAGTTGCAAGCAAATCATCTATGAATCATTTATTTCCTATTAAAAACTGAAAATTTATAGAAACAAAAGCACAAACGATCTTCACTGTCGGTATCATCATCACTTTCTGCTTCTTTATTTCTTGCTTCTTGCTTCAGCGTCTCTTTGTACGGATCCAACTCTTCGTCACTATCACCAAGACTTCCTGTGTATGATGGTTTATCCTACAATGAATATCAAACTTTTACAATTTTGTCAAAAATTTGAAATAAAAGGAATCATCCTGAAAAATCACGAATTTTTGGATATCAAACTTATTTAATAGTAACGAACCAATCGCTTCGCATTTTTGATTCTTAAATGTTTATTGTTCACGAAGTCGAACAGACGATTATATTCTTCTCTGAAATAACACCAAAATGGCCATGAATATACCCATAATTAAGTATAAACATGTTACAAATGTATAAAAACATATAAAATGTGTGAAAAACGACTAAATGATGAACTTTTCAACACTGTTAAAAATTAGTAAACTGCCGCCCTTCATTTCAATTTCAAAGTCAAACGAACGAGTAGACACATCGGATCGAGCAAAATTTACACAACTTATCTGCAATTTATACATATTAAAATATCTTAATATTAAATGGAAGTATTAAAAAAACTGTAAAAATTGCTGATAATTTATTTCCTCAGCGAAGTTCACTTCACTGACTTTATTTGACTTAAAAAACTGAAAAAAAAAACAAATTTGTACAATTTCGAGATTTAAAAAAATTAAAGAAAAACTGAAGTACTTCTTCGAAACGGATATACATCGGTGGCTTATGAACATAAACAAATCCTTTTTCCAATGGATATAAAAAACCTGAAGCTTGCTTGTGAGCACACATTACTGCTGGAGTTCCAGAATGCCTGTATAAAAACGCAAATTTTTAAACAACGCAATATTTTCTCAACTTTAATGAAACCAAAAAAATATAAATAATAATAAGGGATAAAAGTACGCACCCAACAAAGCTTCCAGGAACAGTAATTTTCATATCAACCATAACCCGAAATATTTTTGATACAACTTCAAACACAGTTCCACTCATTCGCTTTTCCAATTTGCCTTTGTACTGCTCTTTTAGCTGTTCACTGAAAAAATTAATAAATTCCACTGTTACAATATTGTTGAAAGCACAGATGTCATGCCAATAACACATTCAAATATTGGAAGGCTTACGATGTAAGGCCTAAGTCCAGATCAACCTCTTCGTCTTTCGAAAATTCAAGAACCAAAAAATGATAACGAGTTTGACCCTGACGAATCGGCGGATTTAGGCTGATCTTAAATGTGAAAATTAAAAGTCCAAGAACAAAAACGAAAGCAAATGATTTGTTTTGACATGATAAAATGTTTTATCTTGCTTGAGTAAGAAACGATATTTCTGCTTGGAAATTCAAAAAAAGAGAAAAGTGAAAAATTACCACAAAGTACATATGACGTCCATCTTTATGGGGTAATAAAAACAGCCTCATTATCGTACGAATCGGAATTTTGTAATCATATGTTTTACCATGCAACGATAAATAATTTTGATAGACCTTAATATCGTATCGACCACTGTAAAGATTTTAATTGAAATGATAAAATGAACCGAACTTTTATTTCATACACTTCATCTCATATGACAAATATACTAACTGAATCCTATCCTTATTGAAGCTTTAAAGCAAATGAAATTGCGCTACCGAGGTGTTGTGCAGAGAATCTGCTGCAAAATCGCTACCGGTTGGTCTGTTTCCGTTTCAATTCCGGCATATTGCATTACAGCACGTCGAAATTCCTGTAAAATGGGTATATTTTTCCTGGATATTCCACTAAAAATGGAAAAGAAAAGAAAACAATAAAAATCTAATTCTAAAAGACGTCAAATGAGAAATTCTAAACTAATTTAAATTAAATCTTAAAAACATACGAACAAGTTCGACTGAATGAAACAAAAATAAATACCTCTACTGGGTCGACATCTTCATCAGCTTCTGGATCTGTTGGAATATGAAAACGCATTTCCATCAGCGATACGGCACAATCATCATTTTGATGGAATTCCAACGCTGCTTCGCTTTTTCCAGCCGTACAATTGCTTACAGTACTAAGCGGAATTTCAAAGCACGGCTTATCATCTACTTCAAATTCGAGTACTTGTCCTGCAACAAGTTTAAATCAAATTGAAATATTGAACTAAACAAAACGCTACTAATTCAGCAAAAAAAGTAAAGAACCTAGAAAAAGGTCTAGGACAACAAGAAGAAAAAGCTATAATAAGGAAACAAAATTTACCTTTTACTTCCGCCTTCCCGTAATTCCAACCTTTGATACACTGTTCAACCTGGTCAACACCAATATTCCACTTATCAAGAGCAAATTTTTTGATTTCTTCGAAGTCCTATCAAATAGAAATTCAGACTATTAAGAGATAGAAAAATACAAGAAAAAATGTTCACAAGAAGTGTTCTTTCAAACCTCAGAATGAATATTTTTCTCATATAATAAGTAGAACAACCTTTTCAGCGAATCCACTGAAACGGTGACGAAGTCCGGAAGATAGGCATACTCGTATAGCAGGTTTATTCCCAATCCGCATCCAATCTATTTTTTCAATTTCTGATGAGTCGATCGTTTGCAATCGGTTATTTCTTGCACTTTTAAAGTTTATTTGAGAGTCGCCAAATTTAATTCGTCCATGATGCTGCAAAAAACTAGTCAGTAGAAAAGCTGATGAATCAGAAGAAATTATCACAATTTCGATTTTTCAAAATTTTCGACACTTGAATGCATTTGAATTTTTATAGACAAAAATTACACAAATTACTGATATAAAAGGTCTTTTCAAAATCGCACCTGAATATACAATGAATTTTTTCTGTTAGCTTCCGGACTGTAGTTATTACAGTAACGTCATTCAAATGCTATGTGTATATAATTCAAACATTATATTTACCAAATCTTAGCGCTACAATTATTTAGTTCAAACAATCGAATCACCTCATTCCAACAACACCATCATCTAGTTCAAGTCCTTTAAGTGCTATCATGCGTAACTTAACTTTTATTTACTTTCTGAATCTTTGCATCACAGTTATACCGTTTCACTTTCATATTTTATTAACATAATATTATCGTTTGCATCTTTGCCTCATCCACATGGTATTTATTGTCCTAATAATTACAGATATCTTCCAACAATCAACATATTTCCTTAATTATAATATTAAAAAAAATTACCATTACGCCAAAATGCTCCTGATAAATGTTATTGTATTCCAGTTCTGTCATATTAAAATTTAACAGTAGATTTACCAGCGAAATGCTGAAAAAATTATAAAAATCACGCGTTAATCAAATAAAACTGAAATTATTTCTTTTCTCTTTTTGACGTCTATAACGTGGGAGATCAAATGTTAAGCAAAAGAACTGAAAGTAATAAAACGCAAAAATAACACTATCTCAAATAACCCTTAATTCAAGAATGAAAAAGAACAAATTGATTTTTGACATCATAAAATATTTGGAAAACAAAAAAAGCCGTGTACTGATACTTCAAAAAACTCGAAGAGGAAAAAAAAAATAAACAAACAGGCAAAATTAATGCGAAAAACGTCATGAAATCATCATCAATAAGAAAGATATAAAGAGAAATTATATGCTTAACGATTATTCTATCATCAAATATAAATTTTATCATTTGAAAAACAAAATAAATTAAAAAGTAAATAAATAATATAACTAAATAGACTAAGCGAACAAGCTGAAAAAAGAATGAACATTAAATAACAAACGATTTACTAAACATTACACATACATGGATGTCAGTGAACAAATAAACATGTAAACAAACCGACATAAACAAAGTCAGTAAACAAAGCCATGTTTACACAAATAATAACAATTAATACCGCTTACGCACAAGTTTGGGAATTAAGTGTGGGAAGAGGAAGAAAAAAAGTAATTTTCCTTTTCCTCTCCACCACTCTTACTTAATTCTTCAATCATCTTCCATACTGCTTTTTTCCTCCTTCTTAGAGAGCGTGGGAAAAAAGACTGGGAAAATTGAAAGATGCTAAATTTTACAGAATACATCACAGACTGTTATGAAAACGGTTATCTCATAGAAAGAGCAATGCATTAGCCTGCATGCTTATTTGGGCTAATTTTTCTAGGGGTTTCCGTGATTTTTTTTTGACCAGATAGAACTTCTTGGGATAGCACATTATTATAATGCTGATCTTATCGTGCACAATCATTTGTTCACCGATTAGGGATATGACAGATCTTAAGCTATCCTGCATACCCGAAAATGTTTCATAGTAATTATATCCCACATATACCTGAAAAAGATCATGATAATTATAAAATTAATTGTTCCCATAAGTAACTGCTAACTGAAATTTTCATCTAATCTTCACTACAACAGTGACTTTATCTTGACTCACGATACCTACCCGAAAAGAAATTTCTTACGTTTATAATTTCCTTATTCGTTGTACATGAAGGAGTCATGAATCATAGAAACTTTTCTCTTTCTCATAGAATTGTAATATGTGCTTATAATTATTTTTTCTTTTGAATAGAAATCGATAAAAATATACGTTGCATTAGAGTTCATTAAAATAAGGTACAGTCAGCAAGGATTATATTTTATTTAATAATATACAAATATTATGCAGTAAATGATTTGTTAGCGAACTGTTTCTGAAACCAGAAATTCATGAAAAGAAAGAATAAAGAAAAAACGCACAAGCAGACAAAACTTATGTAAAGCATAAAATTTCCTATGATAAGTGATATAAAACTTTTATAATAAGTGATAAAGTGTAAAGAAAACAAAGAAATTATGAAGAATTAAATTGACAGACTGACTCCCGGATTCTACAAAACAATTCATCCCTATTTCAGTTACTCTCCGAAGAGTCACATTCATATATTACAATCCGCGGATAGTACCACTGAAATCACAAAATGTGTTGCATAAACTTGAAATATGAGCAAAATATTGATGAAATAAATTGCTGACAATGCAACTGTTACAACCAAAATATAACTTCCGAAATTATAATCAGTTTAAAATTTTAATCCACACTATTAAATTTTTAAAATTTATCCAAACCAAACTAAATACATATTACTTAACGACTATAAAAATCCCATAAGACCATACACCGAAAACGAAGAAATGACAACTTTTAGTCCACTGCTATGAAATTATAAAGTATGCAGTATTTTTTCCAGCAATGCTGATTTTATGAACACATCATTTCAAAATAGACCATTTGGTTACTGCTTCAGCAAACGATCTACTCTCTGTTTCTCAACAGATGTCTTCAATTACCTCTCTTTTAAACATTTGATGAAATTTCATTAATAAAGCAAAAGCTCTAGGATATAATTTGCGTAATGCAATTTTTCAAAGAGCAAAAACCGCTTTGAAATCTTAAGTGTGGCCATTTTGCGTGGCTTCTGCTTGATTCTTTTCACCTATATTTGCTTCTGGAGACTGAATTGGCACACCATAAATGTTGTGCAGATCGCGCGCTGCATCACCCGTATCACCCATTGCTAAAATTCCTGATGCAAATCCATCTCGTAGCTCTGTTAATCGTTTGTCCACCTGAGAAGCAACAATACATACAAATATATAATTCCAAAATTTCTTGGTAATAATAAAAAACTTCAGTATTGCTAGGAAACTTTTTTCGAAATCTCAGATCATTCTTGTATTTATCTGTAGTAGGGCTCAATATAACTTTAAATTCATTGTTCCCTTAATTTTCAGTAAAAAGGCGACCAGCATCGAAATAATAGCACTTCTAGCAATAGAGTTAATTTTTCCTTTACTTTCAAAAAAAATCCTTACTATTGATAACATCTCATCGAACTGTTCCGGTGTTGGCTCGTGTTCTGAAGCAGAAAGAACATCGGAAACCGGCTTTCGTTCCAAACTCTGACAAAAACAAAAAATGATGGATAAATATTCCGTAGTTCACTTTCTCAAAAATCTTGAGAAAAAATAAAAAAATAGGACTATTAATGATATGTTAATAAGATATTCATATACAGTAAAGATGAAGGAATAAAGAAGGTGTAAAAAGACATACAAGGACATCGTTCATGAAATCATCCCCAAAAGGATCAAGGCCAAATTTATCTTTTTCTTTTTTCTCTCGCACTTCTGTTTTTTTCCTTTCGTCTGCCCGTGGGTCAAATTCGTCATCGAATAAATCTTCCATTTTATCCAATTGCAAATTTTCTAAACGTCTTCCAACCTAAACTGTTCGAATCACTTTATGTGATGAATGATATTAGAAATTGTAAAATATTAGAAAAGCTGAGTGACAGCACCACTAACTCATACTATGTTTTTGCTTTAGAACTCGAGTGTGACCTTAAAACCCCTTTTTTGATGCTCATCGGCATAAAAAATTCAATCTGCTATAAAATGTCATTTAACGATTTAATTTAACGGCGTCATTTGACGAAAGTAACAGCAACGGTTTCTTCGAAAGTAACTTTTATTTTCACTGATACAAAGTCAAATAATTTTAAATCAGACAATTAAATAAAATCGATTTCTCCGCAAAGTGAAATGGTTCATCTATACGATAAAATTTAAAACTATTTTCCTTCACCTTAACAATTTATAATAAACTATTCGGTTTAATCCCAATAACTTTGTTGATAAGGTTAATACATTCAAATCATATCACTGGAAAAAGAAATGGAACAGAATTCCTTCTATGAGCTTATGTTACCTGTTACCTTTTTGCCTTTTTGCTTCATTAAACAGTAACAATACTGTTTAATATCAGTGAAGTAAAAGGAACAAAGTAATATAATTTTTTTTCAATAAAGCCCAAAAATGAAACCAATCAATGAGGCTTACAACACCAAACACACATTGTTGGTTATTTCTAAATGTTTTATTAAGGTGGATGTTATAAATGAGTTGTTGACTAAGGTTTTTTTTTTAATTGAAAAAGAATCATCTAGAACCGAACCTGTGGAAAATTTGTAATAGAATCACTTGCATTCACAGTATTTGGATGATCACTTGTATTCACAGCATTTGTATGATGTCTTCGTGGGATAACTGGTGGTGGGACAATTGCCGGTATTATATCATTCATTAAATTTGATGTAATTCCCGGAGGTGGTTCGCGAGGCATCGGTGATGTTGGTAGAGGTGGCACAGAATCCTCCTAACAACTAGCTGAGTTAGTCAAAAGCATTTATGCTAAATTTCGAAAAAGATTTCAAGGAATTTCCTTGAAACTTTCAGGAATTCCTGTTCTACAATTCTTCTAGAATGCTAATGAAACTCGTATTGAAGACTAAAAACGAACCTTCTGACTCTGTTGTGCATAAAGTTTCTCCTTAAGCTCATTGTTTTCCTGTTCCAGCTCTGCTATTCGCTTCCTTAGCATAATCAACTGTTTTTTATTTTCTAAGTCTCGACCATTTTTTTCCAGAAATTTCTGGAAAAAGTAAAAAATAGATGAAAAGCAAAATGTGTTAATATATATGTTAAACATGTTTCATAACATGTCATAGTTAAAACACTTTAACATTTATGATCAAGTAATAATCACTATAACAACCTCGGATCACTTGAAGCTTGCAACTCACAGTGTAGCACACATATGAATATAGTTGTAAAATCCTAATGTATGAAATAGCTGCCAAATCACTTTTTCGTATTATTCAATGCCCAATCAAAATCATTAAATAATTTTACCTGATATGCAAGATCAAATGCTTCTCCGACGGTGAGAGTTATCTGTTCCGCTAATTTCTCACTTAGAAAGACGAAACAATCATGTCTAGAGAAGGATTCGGCCTTGGCGATAAATGAAAAAACCCTCTTATCCTGCAATATAGACCATTAATTTGTTTCGTGAAGAAAAAAGACACAAAGTGCATTGTCTATCGCAGTAAAATGTCATACAAATGCAGTGATACCAAATACCAACATCAATTGTTTCCCTAAGTAATAAATTTGAGAATGATTAATTGATAGAAGCTATTTTTTGAAGCAGAACAACTCGTGCATATATCAAAATTAATTTCCGATAACTACTTTGTCAACATGCAAAGATGAAAAAAATTATATTAAAAAAAACCTGCTTGTCATCAGCACAAAAAGAAATTCGATGGAGGGGATATTTAAATAAAATCATTTTTGTCTTTGTTTCGATAACTGTTAAACCATCCACATTAATTTGCAAATCCACTTTCTTAAGCTTTGCTCCCGAATGTCCCGTAACTCCTCGACTTACCTGAATGACTTTCAGAACATTAAAAAGGATACAAGATACAGCATCAAAGGTTACCCTGAGTTCCACTTTCGGGTTGGGCCTAGAGCAGCAAAATTCAAAGACTCTACCCCGATATAAACGTGGAAAAAATAAAGCTCATTCAGACAACATTAGTCATTTTTTGTCTGATCCTTTTCCCATGAAAATAGTCTTATGATCCAAAAAGCGGAGTTCTGAAGTATATTATAAACGTATTTCAGCAAATAAGTTGTATGACTTAAAACCTTACTCTTTCATAATTTTTACTTTTTTGAAAATGATTCTAAAGGACTAGAAAGTCAAAGCGCTCTCAAAAACAATGAAAAACATGAATAAGGAAGAAAAAGAACTGAAGGTTCACAGAAAAACTATTACTTGCAATTGAAACCGTATAGCGTGAATAGCATCCCGAATGACATGTGTTCCTTTTGGTTCTGATACTTCCGCAAAACCAAGCATTTTCACCGAATATTCGACACGACCATTTAATAATACATCTGTAACAGTAGAACTTATCCTACGAGATATTTTTAAACGAAAAAGATTATAATACTAAATAATTCTAGAAAATCTCATCAAACTACGAATCAATGAATGGCAAACCAGGTGGATGTATCCATTTGGATGAAGTACCTCCAGCATATCGAACTCCGTTCGAATGATTCGATGAACTAGCAATGCCAAATGATTGGGAACCAAGGGAACGTTTTATCGTATTATAAATTTCTTTTCCTTTCGAAGTCATTTTATATCTGCAAATGCATACTGATAATCAAGTACAACTTATACATCAATAAAAAACAATCGGTACAAACGAAGGCGAGAGATAAGAGTGGACACCTCAACGAAAATCAAAATAGATTGAAATGCCATAACAAAAAAGAAATGAATGGAAAATTCGAAAGTTTTATTAAATAAAAAATTTTATTAGAATGACCAATACTTGAATTACTTAAGAAAACACTGAACTATTTTCTGGAGCAGTCAATGCAACATATGTTGCTAACTTTAAGATGTATCAGACGTGAATGTTACATGGGTGAAGATCAGTTTCCCCACTTAACTGACAGTACTAATTTCAATCCACAAGGCAGATTACCAATGGAAAATAATTAACAAATTTTAAATTTTGAGAAGATAAAAAAAATGATACTTTGAAAAACACATATGATACAAATAAATAATAATCAGGCATTTAGTCGAAAAAGCATAAGTTGTCCGATAAAATTGAAGGAAAAATCAACAAGTTTGTCACAGTAATTATTTGTAGTCAAAGTAATACTGGTAAAAAAAAAATGAACTAAAGTTTGGCAGCAGTCTTGAAAGCAAATATCTAGAAAAAACGAAAAAGTTCTGAAAAAATAAATGAAATCCAATGCTGATAAATTTTATGAATGCTTTGCATCATATTATTCGAGTTCTGTAATCTTGTTTACATTTGTGCAAAGCTAAACAAATTTTGCTAGCATAATGCAGAGAGTAAGGATCAATTTAATACACACAATTGTTAAGCACCTTGAATTGCAAATCTCATGCACCGTCAACGTGAATGTACGTTGGAAAACATCAATTAACATATACACAAAAATATTATCGATGATTTCAGAGTGACCTCCTACAGACCATCATTCTTAATCTGTTATTTATTATAACTATTGGAATAATAATTGGGTTTATAACAAAATTATTTATTTATTTTCACTGTTTTCACTTGTTAGTTCGGAATTACTTTTTTACTTTTTTTTTCATACAAAGCCGAACTGATAAAAAATTCGAACTGCATCTAAGCTACCTCATTTTTATAATTTTCCTTCAGAAAAAAGTATCACCTTTTATTTACAAACACACAAAGACGACTAATTCATGTTACACAGCTAATAATGAAACACAGTTATTAATCAATTAATGTCAATTCAATTCAAACAGTTTTATCTAAGGTGAAAGAAAATACTATTTTTAAAAAAGGGCAAAACAACACACAATTAATTCAACTTAATTTTGTTGACAGAATCAAAAAGAGATCTTGCTTTCGATATAATCCTAAGAATTTCTTCACTTCCTATAAAATGATATTCGTCAAGTAATAATCACTACGCCATCATTTATCAATCCAAAATAAAAAATACAACATACAATACCCTATCTAATCATGATGGCATAAATATTTTATTCCACTACTATCGCAACACTCACGACTTCTACCTGCCATCATTATTCGTCATCCTTTTCTATCTCATTAATCTTACATCAAAATTTTTCCATAAAGAAGTACACCATATTAAGAAATTATTCTCTGCTCCTTTTTCTCGTCTTCCTTATCTTTTTAATAAACGAACCACATATTTTATAACAAGCGTCGACATATATACATTTATTATTCAAACATTCTCTCCTATAAATATCTCAGCTTTACCACATTTAATATTCTCCACTCACTGCCTTATTTACCTAATACTTCCAATGCTGCCATAATGTTATATAGCACACGTCGATATCTACATATAGAAATATATATATATATATTTTCCATTCTCCTTTCTTCTCATCTCTTCAGTTTTTCTTCTGCCTCCCTGAACCTGTCTCCTCTCTAATAATTACTATTAAATAACATTTTCCAGCTGAACTACCTACTATTTCACATTCTCCATCCTCTTTACTCCTTTCTACCGCGATATACCTGCCCTATTAAATATTATTGTTCCTTATGATTTGCGAATAATTCAACCATTTAAGAACACATGACCAAAAGGATAAGGGCATGGAAAGTGACACCATATTGGGACAAACATGTCAACAACACTCACTTCACCATCCGCACTTCTTTTCTCTTCCCACATCGCCACTTCTTTTGCAACCATCATTGCTTGTTTTTATTACAGGTCATATACATTTGCAAATATTTTACAAATGTGTAAATAATCAAATAGATTAAATAATTTATTAAGTTATTCTGCAGTTTCGTATGAAGTCCGAATTACGCAAGCAAGAGGTAATGAGCAACAAATTACAATATTTCTAGTTCTTTAAAAATAACTGCTTTAAATATTTTGAAAGCTTACTTCACTTTCTCCTATCTCATGCTTCTTTATTCCGGCCTCCATGCAATGTTTAAACAAATTTCACTTAAAATGCGATGCACGACACAAAAACAGCAGTTATCTAAAAAGCTTAGGAAGAAGGAGCCAAAAGGTTAGAAGAGAGGGATGAATTCTCTAAGCTATAAATCACTAATCACTAATCATTAATCAATATAATCACTAATCAATAATCACTAATCCAAACTGTTAAGTGTTGCTTGCAATAACACAAAGTTTATCTCACAACAAATTGCAGACGAGAAGTAAAAACGGCTGGATGATGCAGCAGCAACCTTTCAAAGACATATATTGGAAGCGAAAAGAGGGCAAATCAATCAACAATAGTACCCCCATCTCCAATACCACACTTATCAAAATTCATTCTACCGTATCATTATGACTTTTCTCCTGAGCAATAAGTCAAGTTTCGTTCAGAAAAAACCGAAATGGAATTGAAATTACAAGATTAAAATTCATTCAAGTAAGCGAGTATTAGAATTATACCTTCAGAACATGGAATGAAGAAAATAAAACAAAAAACAAAATACTTCAAATTTGCATCGAACAATCACTCTAACAATTTCCACTTCTGGAACATCGAAATATATTGTTGCTGAAACGGCTATTCAATGATTTTTTTTGCTTTTTATTCTGATAATATAATTCGATTCCAATGTAAGAAGGAACATTAAGATGTATTCCGATAAATAATAAAACTCCTGACAGAGACAATCTGAGGTGTGGGGAAGAGAAAATCATGAAGTCAATGGAAATAATCAGGACCTAAATATATTATGATCATGCCCAGGAATGAATGTATCACGACTTGGAAATTTCGTAAACAGCTTACATTAAGCAATACCTTCCATGATGATGCTAGAACTAAGCCAACCTACCAGAGCAGAATACATGACGATGACCCAAAAAAAATTTGACATACTGTGTAAAAAATGTGGCAGTACATATGTTTCCCAAGTGATATAAAAGTGTGAAATAAATTCCGGGCTATCAGGAAAAGAAAAAGTTCACTGTGCCAGAAGTCATTAAATCAACCGTTAATATGAAATTATTAATAACTCCCAAAAAAAAAGTTAAAATTTGGGAAAAATCTCTCATTTAAATATCGACGAGACATCATTGCGAGAAAAGACCAAAGTCCAGATTTTTATTGCAAGACTATACAATAGAACCAATTCCTGTCTTGAAAATAAATGAATTTAACAGGAAGATGTCATTATATAATCTAAAAGACCAGCACTGATGAATCATTACAATGCCGCTCAATTTAAAAGTCTAATATATGATGCATTTTATAGATATTATAGTGCAATATTATTTCATTATTACATATTTCAGTGAAATTTAATATCATTTCAGGCTCAGCATTTCATCCCCTTGCTCATTTCATACCTTTCTCCAGAAAAGTAATCAGCTATTTTGAATTTTTTCTTTCGAAATCAACTTACCTTAACTTTTAACTACTTCACTTTGACTTAAAAATAAATTAGTTATGAAAATTTAAATTGGAATATATCATGGTTTTTCTTTTCAAAGATTATGTCAAATCAATGATTCCTCTGATATAGCGACTGAAAAGAGAGGAATCAAATATTCGATAACAGTAAAAGAGAAAAACTAATCATACAGCATTTAACAAATGATAGAATGCTCGAAACACAGTTGCTCAAACCAATTTCCTTACCATCATTCAATCAATGGCAGACCTCACTTCCTTCATATCCTATAGTTCTGTTTAAAATCATTCCTTTTCTTATCGTGAATCGAGAATCTCATCTAAATTTCCTTAATTTTATTAAATTTTCTTTAATTTTATTCCAGTTTCCTTTAATTTAATGATTTACTGCTTTCTTTAGTTTTACTAAATTTTCAGTTAGTAAATGTCCCAAGTAATATACCTTATCACTAGCAGAAAATGATAAATCTTAAAGTTATTCAGTTGTTAACTAAATGATAAATTTCGATTTGTATGTGCAACTTATTATAATTAATGACCAAAAAGATAATTATCGGTCCAATCTTACTGAACTCGATAGGATAGCACTTGGAAATATATGATGAGATCAACAGTAGACGACAGATGGTCATTTTAAATATTAAATAAAACTAGGTTACTTAAAAATTAATTCAAATCTTACACTGCAGATTATATCACTGATGATTACCTTGGTACCATTATTATTACTGTTACTATTGGATGAACATCTGCTAGCACAAAAAAATATCCCTGATGATATACGTAAAAGGGTACGTGAAGCGCATACATTTGATGAACTGCTATCCGCCATACAACTAACGTATGCACCGCATTTACTTGGAAATAAAGACGAACCAACCTTCAAGGTTCACAAAGAATTACATCCTGCTGAAACACGATCTTACACGAACAGGATGCAGAAGACTAAGTTATATGGAGCTTCCGTACTTCATCCATCAATCATTACAAGAAAATCCGATTTTCGTCAAGATATCGACGGTTTGTCCATTTTTACATCTCATCCTCTTTCTCATTGAAATCTAAAAAGGATAAATTTGATAGGTCAGCAGAAAATCCAACAATCAAAGATTTGAAAGAAAAAAAAACTTAAACTTGAACAATATTATTACCATTATTTAAATTTCACTTCTTTGTATTTAATTGGTCATAATGCAACAGCAATAAAAACAATAACAAACAATAATAACAAGCGCAGTAATAATAATGATAAAGTAATAATAATTTTAAGCAGTCATCATTCCATTAGCTTTTACATTTGAATCCTTCATATCTACTGCATATGCATTGCCAAGCTAAAGGGAAGATTGCAAATATATTAGCAAAAATGTTACAAATCCAAACTTATAATTAAAGTCGATAAATCTAGAAATAAAAAGATTTTTCTTTCTTAAAAAAGTTTTAACCCAGAATGCTACTGTAATTAGCAATGACGCCAATATTTGGAAAGTACAAATAAAACGCCACCTAATGATTTATTAGAAAGGACCAGTATGTAATTTGATAAACAACGGGTAACACTTAGAAAGAATGTGAGAAGGATAAGTAAAAAAAAGTTATGGAGGAAGGAAAAAGAAACAGAAAATTAGAAGATATCTTTTTGCACAGGCCAAGAATAAACGCTTCTCGAAACACATTTTTCTTTGCTTCGAAAAAAAGTTGAAAACGTTTTCATAACAAGACCGTATTGTCAAAAATGTCAATAGCAACTCCTATTAACAACGGTCTCATCAATTAAGTACAAAGTTCACTTACTCCTTCTTAAATACAACTTAATCTATATCGCAACACCTACAATAATAACCAATAATAATGCTAAACTAATTTAAAAGCATTACCAAGAACAAATGATGATCGATTAATGTCCTGCTATCAGTGAAATAACTTTGATTATGTTGAAAGAGAAAAAAAAATGTTGAAAAAACATTTTTTACATTAAATTTAATTTCACTTCTTGTACAAGTACTTATATTTCATTTTATATTTCTTAATCATAACATGTTTGATAAACTTTAACTGCTACTATTCATACTAAGGTCAGAGGTATGCAAAAATTTCACCGGTATATAAAAAGCAAAATCATTTAATGTCAATATATCGAGTCATTCAATTGTTTAGTTTTTTTTCAAAATAATTTATAAAAATAATTATAAAAGTGCAATTACTGCAGTAAAAATAATGTTTGATTTAGTTAATACAAAGAAAAGCTTAGATATACTAAGCATGATTCGACAAGGCACAGATATATGTGAGTTGCAAAAAGGTTGCATTCGTATATTACCGGAAAATCCCGATCCTGGATTACTGATATTCCCAAAATGCTATGAAGTAACACAATGTGTTGGATCATGTTGCGAATTCACTGAACGCTGCCATCCAACCAGTACTGAATATATTCAACTGCCGGTAACAATTCTGAAATATGCAGTTCCATCTCTATTTATTTCATTCCATTTTCATTCACACAGATAACTTCCATTTCTAATCAATGAAAAAAATTTCAGCAAGCTAGAAATGCAGTTATGTGCAAAATAATTAACTGCATTTCTAGCTTGCTGAAATTTTTAGAACTAAATATTGCACCAATCTATCCAACTATCTTTATCTATTCCTCAATGTCAATTGCTGAATTTATATCTACCACTAAGAAGTGTTGCAGGTAACGCTATCTATCGCTATCCCTAACCAAACTTATCTGCCAATAGGAAAAATTGCAAATAATAGAATCCATCAATAAGAAACGATACAAATAATAGTAGTATTAATCTAATCTGACACAAATTTCAGAAATTTCAAATATACTAAAAATGATACTAACCTTAATTCATAATCGAATTAAATTATAGGAAGTCAAAACAAATCAACTGAAGGAAACAAACTGATGAATTAGTTATAAAATCATCAATGCTTCATCTCTCCACCTTCTTGGTTTAACTGTTAATGTTTTATATATAATGACACACAAACTTAATATATAACCATATATGAGGGTATAACTTTCAACAATTTGATGTACTTCCAGTACACTTTTACGCTATATTTAACATCGTTCATAGTATGATAATTATAATGCTTGATAACTTATTTTTGATGGTTTATTCACTCCTGACCAATCATTTGTAATTTATTTATTCGAGATTATAAAATTGATGAGTAATATTAAGGGAAACAAAACGGACTGAGATGAATATTACCATTTCTTATACAAATAAGTTTCACAAATAAGGAAATATACAAATTTGGTACTTTTTTCATATTATTCATTTTTTCATTTACTTATGTAACACTTTTTGCAGATAGTTGAAATGCTTTATTCCGGCAATAATCTGTTTGTAATCAATCAAACACGAAATATAACAATCGAACAACATACTGCTTGCAGTTGCCAAGAATGCACTCAATGCCCGCAGGAGAAAACTGTCGATCCGAACTGCTACTGTGAATGCAGAAACAGAGAAGAGAAAAAGAATTGTCAAGGTTTTTAATATTTAAAGAAAAAAAACGATTCAATTTCTCACTTCAAACTTTTTTTTTAAAGCTTTTCAACCTGATGCAAAAATTTCGGTTCCGCATATCAATCAAATGCACAGATTGCAAACATATATCTTAATCGAATAGAGAGACTTCTTTTCCTAAACCATATGCATGAATATCGGTTACCTCTTCTCACTGAATAAATCAATCTTAATGTATGAATTTTTTTTTCAATCGTACAGATAGATTTCAAGTCTCCTTTCCAATCAAATAGATAACCGCCCTCAAATTCTGTCCAATACACAGAATTCAATTTGATTTTGAGATTTCCTACTCCATGTTGGGTTAAAAAATCTATTGATTTCAAGAACGTTTAATATCAATCAAACTTTCCTGTTTTTTTTTTTTTTAGACATAAGCAAAGAAGAAGTATTTTGTACATTTAAAAAATTTCAAAAGTTAGAAAAAGCATTATATTAAAGGTCCAAACAAAGTCTGGAATGACGAAACGTGTACCTGCAACTGTGTCACGAAGAACTGTTATGGTAGAAGTGTTTTGGATGCACATACAGGCTTACGCTATCATCCAGCAAATAATCAAAGTTATGGAAAACCAGGTGCTTCAGATAATTTCCGATCGGATACATCCAGATTGCAAAGGCTTCGTCTAGCTCGAAGAAGGATGCCCATGAAAAATATTCTGTGAACATTCATATTAAATATTACAGCGTTCATTGTGAAATTGATAATACGCTACATGAAATTTCTGAAGATATCTAAACAATTTAACATTAAAAAACATTCCCATGATCTAGTTGATCTGCGGCAAAATATCTGCAAAGCAATAAAGAACATACACAAAGGATTAAGTATATATGGCAAAGAAAAGAAGTGAATACTTGGGATTAAACTTTTTTGACATTTCCATAAATATTCCTCCATTATATCTAACCCTTTTAATAACCTTTGTACTGATTGTTCCTTATATATCATGTCACAAATAGTCCTGTTTGCTGACTCTGTGGTACTTCATATTACATTAATTCTCTGTACTGTCATATATTTTCTCAAAGTACTGGAACCCTTTGAAGGCTACAATTTTGTTCAAACTAGATTAAATGCAGCTATGTTCATCCGATATCTGGTAAATCTCGGGATGCAAAATCCTCATCCAGGATTTGCAACATTAATATATGATACAAAAATATCTATTCACTAAAACAAATATATATATATGAGTATATTACTATCTCCTAACTACACCCCGCGAGCTCTCGGGAGAAGAAAAATAACAAGAAATCGGATGCTTCTTGTGACGGCACTATTCTGAAAATTCCTTATCCCAACTGTATGCTTCAAGATTTGAGCATTAATTGGAGGTTTGGGGGTTTCGCTGACGGAATTTTTTTCCTTATGAATTTAATTAATTGATTTACACTTTGTGATTTCCGTAATATATTTCAGATATATTTCGGGTATATCAAGTTAACAAAAAGTGTAATGGATAATCAGCAAAAGTTAGATTATATCACCAAGTGAGGAAAGATATACTTCGTTTCAAGTGCAAACGTGAAGTGTAGTCAGAGGACACGATTGCTTGAGTGGAAGGCTTGTTGACGTATAATGAAAAACTACGAAAAGTTAGAGAAAATCGGAGAAGGTTGTCTTATTTATTTATCTCCCTATTCTATTATTTGTTTAGAGCATAGTATGGAATTTCCATTATTTATCTGTTTGAGGGAAAAATTGAGAATTTTGATTTTCCGGCATTTGTTAGTCTAACAGATAAGTAAAGTAAATAGTAGACAAGTAAAGTTTAGGATTTAAATTCGCGAACCAAATTTTATTTTCAAATTCATTGATATGAAATTGCAAAACCAATTTTGAGACAAGGTTCAGAAATTTTGACAAATATTTCAAATTTTTAAGACGCCATTTTCAAATTTATTGAGGTGCAAAAGCATCTATTATTTTAACAGCTTAACTATTTCAGATTAAAATCTAAGCTTTTGCAGTTCTTTCAGGATTTTCAGAATTTTGAAGACTGTCAAAATATTAAATGGAAATCTAAAAAAGTCCGCAATTACGGGACTGTTGGAATTTGTTAGAACTATTGCAAATGCACACTGTTGTTTATGTAATATTTTAGGCACATATGGAACCGTTTTTAAGGCCAAGAATTGTGATACTCAAGAGATTGTAGCAATGAAATGTGTGCGTTTGGATGATGACGATGAGGTCTATTTTCTTGTTCATTTTTGCTTCCTAGCCTGACTGCTGAAAAAAACAAGAGTATCTGAATTCAGTAGGTTAGTCATATGTGGATTGAATTCAAATCAAATATATCGATGATCTTTATCCTTTGCAGTTTGGTAGTATTTAAATAAGACCGTTACATACAACTAAGTGTTCAGATCACAGCTGAATTTATCGTCACTTAAGAGTATTATAGTATTCAAATCTATCTATATGCAAACATCTTTCAGGGTGTCCCTAGTTCGGCATTACGCGAAATATGTTTGCTGAAAGAACTCAAACATGAGAATATCGTGAGGCTGTATGATGTTGTCCATAGTGAGCGTAAGCTTACTTTAGTTTTTGAATATTGTGATCAAGATTTAAAAAAGTATTTCGATTCGTGCAATGGTGAAATAGATCAACAGGTAATGTTCATCATTTTGTTGCTTATTTGCAAAGTAGTTAAACGTGAATGCTATTTGAATCCAACACATTTTGTCCAAGATCTTAATTTGAAACTGTATTGCTGATTTAGATGCAACAGCACATCTTTTAAAGCACAATTCTACCATAGCAGAAGTATTTTTCACGTAAATTTATGATAGGTTATAATTTTTAAATTACATTTTCAAGGTTTTAAAAGTGTAGTTATCTAATAATGTCGTTATCAAACGTTTGAATTTTCAGATAGTAAAATCACTTATGCACCAATTATTATGTGGATTAGCTTTTTGTCATTCACATAATGTGCTTCATCGTGATCTAAAACCCCAGAATTTATTGATAAATACTAATATGCAGTTGAAATTGGCAGATTTCGGATTGGCACGGGCATTTGGCATACCTGTGAGATGCTATAGCGCCGAGGTTTGTTTATTTATCCATTTCTAAGTTGTGAATACCAAGAAATTATTTGATAAGAATCACTGCCATTGACCAGCAAATTTATAGAACGAAACGATTCTATCGCTCAGACCTTGAGCATTTTGATTTACTGCAGTCTGTGAGAATTATTCTAAAACCTTTTTTAAAAGTATTAGTTGAGGTTGTCACATTATGGTATCGACCTCCTGATGTCCTCTTCGGTGCAAAACTTTACAACACTTCAATCGATATGTGGTCTGCTGGATGCATTTTTGCTGGTGGGTCATTTCACATATTCGCGGGATATAAATAGTTTCGTTTTTTATTAATTTTTCAGTTTTTAGATATTAAAGTTTGAATTTTTTAGAAATTTCGAATGCGGGAAGGCCACTTTTCCCAGGTGCTGATGTTGATGATCAACTGAAGAGGATTTTCAAAATGCTTGGTACTCCGACGGATGCCACATGGCCAGGTCTATCGCAGCTTCCGGAGTTCAAGGTTGCTAAGTTTTAACGTCCAAAGTCCCAAAACCCAAACGTTAGTCGTCAATATTTTCAAAAGTTACCGGAAGCTCCAAGGATCTTTTTAGCCTTTGACAAAGTCTAATTTTGAAAACATTTTTTTCAGCCGATGCCCCTATATCATCGTTCTCTTACAATTGGACAAGTGGTACCCAATCTTCCCGCTCGTGGACGCGACTTGCTTCAGGTACATAGGCGCTTTGCGCATTGATTTACTTTCAGCCATGATTTGATTCCTCGAATGCGGTGGGAATCCTTCTGAGGAATTCCAATTATGATTTCTCGTTTCAGTTTCATTCTTTCTAGTTCCTTCTGTAGGCAAGTTATAAAGTTCGTGCAGAGAGACACATCACCTTTTTAATATTTTTGTTTTAGCAGCTCCTGATTTGTAATCCATCTCATCGTATTGATGCCGAAGTAGCGTTACGCCATGAATACTTCAGCGATATTACAAACTGCTAAGTAATTTACTTTAAATATTGTTTTGAGATAATTTTAAGTCATATGCATCAGTGATCTCGTTGTTGTGCAATGGTATATTTGTCTATCCTAGGATTTCTGAATCTTTATTTGTAATATATAAGTCTGAAAAAGTTTCTCTTCATTGTAACTGATCTCTTCCCAACATTCCATCTTTTTTTAAATGATTTTTATTTATAATAATTGAAGATATATTTGGCAACTGTACTGGTGAATTTAAATGCTGGCTTTATGCAATTGGAGAAAATTTTCAAATTTCATTTCGAGTCATACATTTTAATTCCTTCATTTCACATCGTTGGAGTAAGTTTTCAGCTTCCGATATGGATAATATTTCTACTTTCGATAAACCAATTTCTCAAGAATATTGTATTGAATGAAACTACTTACCAAATCTCAAATTACTTCCCACTCTGAACAAAATTACTGCTTTCACAATTAAAGCCATTTGTGAAGATGTATGATGCGAAAAAGGATTTAGATGCACTGTGTCATTAGGTCATATCTATTCCACCAATATTACTTGATCTTAGTGTACTAGCGTTTTACAACGTTTATCAAAGTTATGAGAAACACATGTCAAACGAGTCTGAGCTTTGCCATATATATGGCCAACCTAGCAACAACATATAAAAGAGCAGGTGAAGAATAAATGAAACGAACATAATGAGGTATTCTATATAAATGAAACGAACATAATGAGGTATTCTATATAAATGAAACGAGCATAATGAGGTATTCTATTGGGAAGTGAAGTATTTATGTTACAGAATAATGTTAAATTGAAGATCACACCCCATACGATCACTATTAGACCAGTGTCAAAATACTAACTTATAAAATGAAGTACAGGTAATTAGAAATGAAAAGCAAACATTATGTACGATAAATGGAACACGTCTTTAGACATAATTATAAAATGAGTGAATCCTGTCATGAAGGGAATCAGATATCGCACATATGTTCGAAATACCTAGATTTCTTATAACCGGCAGTTTATAAGAACTTTTGGATTTCATCGTAAATAGCTAATACAAGTGCGCCACCTGTACCTCGAAAAACATTCGAAAGAGCACCTTTGTAAAGTGCCGTAACTCCTTCGTTGGCAACAACTTTCTTTGCACAATCCCAAGTATTTGTGTACAGTATTTCTTTGCGACCAGATTGCATCATCATTCGTCGGCGTACAGTATCCCATGGATATGACAGAATTCCAGATCCAACAGTTACGACCTGAAACATCCATCAATTAACTCCTAAAGCTCCGCCAAAAGCATGGAATTTCACTAAAGACATTAATTACGAAGCAATACTGATGTGTTCGTTGAGGAGTATAGATTTACTTCTATCATGCGGTGAACATATCAACAAATTTAAATTTGTTCTCCATCCAGAAAAATTTACAAATTCATCCTACCTCGATGGAAAAATAAAAAATTTCAAGCAAACAAACCTGAGCAATCATCCAAGCAGCGAAGAAGTTGAGTTTCTTTTGGCCTCCAGAAACCATCATTTTGATTGTATCAAAAAGACCAAAGTAAGCTGCACGATAAACGATAATACCTTGCACCGACACCATAAAACCACGGTAGAGCCCAACTGGACCATCACTTTTAACAACTTTAGCCAAACAATCTATCAAACCATTGAACTCACGGGTTGCACCCTTACCGACATCAACAGCAAGACGAGTACGAGCAAAATCAAGTGGATATACAAAACACAGAGATGTAGCACCTGCTGCACCGCCACTCATTAAATTACCGCCAAAGAATTTCCAAAAATCCTGCAATAACGTAGTTTATGATACCATGTTAAGTTAACTGTCTTTCTTTTTCAGATGAATTGAATGCATAGATTTACCGAATCTTATATCTTTGTCATATACCGTAACGAAAATTTGCTTACTACTGCAAACATTATGCTTATCCCTTTTTGACTATATTCACAAGCCACTTACTTTATCTTTGTCATATCCTGCAACGAAAATCTTCTTGTAAGTATCTTTGAATGCAAAATTCAGCGCTTGTGTAGGGAAGTACCGTATCACGTTTGCTAAATTACCGCGCCAAAAGGATGCAAAACCCTGCTCAGCAGGCACACGCTTAAATACATCAATAATACCCTTGTAACGTTTATCGGCTTCAATTGTTTTGGATGCATGTTGTACCTGGAAAATGAATGAACTCTCCGGAAAATAATTTATGATTATCGTGACATTATCACTGATACTCACTGCGCCAATAATTGGATCTACATATCTTGATCACATGTGCTTACTAAAATGTATCCTAAAATTTATTTCCTTTAAACCCAGAATTTTACTATCCAGAACCAGGTTGTAAAGGCTGAATTACATCTTTAGGATGATTTCTCAAGAAGAGATAAATGTTCAACAGCAATGAGAAATTTTTTATATTCCCCCGATATGGATTATCATGAATAATAATAATAACAAGTCAAAGCTTCTGGTAAATTTGCACCTCAAAAACTCGAAACTTCAATGCTAATGTATCTTATCAAATCTCTTTTATTATATCACTTCATTTAATTACACAAGAGAAAAAAACTGATCGTACAACCATATAGGATGCTATCTTTTGAGAGAATTTAGTTTCAGCTATTAAATTTTACTGCCACATAAACTTTATTCATATAGCAGCACTATTTAAGAGTATTAACACAGTAGAAGTATCTACAATATAATATACTAAGAAGAGTATCTTCATTATCTTTATTCACGTAGCTGTAGTAGCTGAAATAGTTTTACTTATGTAACAGCGATACCTGAAGAAGTAGCTTAACACGTTCGATAGGTGCAACAGCAGTTTTGGAAACAGCTGCGGCTGTGCCGCCAGATGCCAAATCAATCAAGAATTTCTTTGCATCAAATGATCTTTTGTTACCGGGATGTGATTTGCCGGTATCTTTTGATTGGTCTGTTGACATTGGGAATATATGGAATTAGCTGGAAATGTCGAATAAAATAAAAAATCTGACTCAAAAATCAAAACGTACTCACATGATCAAATTGCTCAGCAAATACCGTAATGAGTAACAACATTAACAAGTTAACAACAGATAAATAATGGCAGCAACAATTCTACTTCCTAAGGATCACTGCTGCTGCAAATTCTCATTCGCAAAATAAAATACTATTTTTATAATGAAAAAATTTTCTTGCTATTAAATATTTTAATAGCAAAAATTTAAACCAAGAAATTCTTATTTGTATGGCGATCAATAATAATATAAGATACTTATCGACAAAAAAAAATACTTTTTGTAGTAAAAAAGATAAAATATACGATTTATGCGTAATAAAATATTTCTATAAAACATATAATAAATCGTGAAAAAGTAAAATGTATCCGTAAAGGAATCAATACAAACAATTGACGGTAGGAAGGACGTTAACATAAGCAGTAAGAGAAGATAAGAGATTAAAAGCATTTCCTAAAACATAATTATACGATATTTTGCTTTTTTTTTTATTCTTGGCAAAGATATTTGATCATTACTACCCGTGTCTTTTATTTATCCGCTTGCATTCTGCTCTCTTTCATGCTCTCTGCACATCCACAAAACTTTCTCTGCTACACATTGCTAATTCGCCTTTTATCTAGCTTCCGCTCACAAACTCACATTTATGACCTCACGTACACATCCTCACGTACGCTCAAATAAGCTGGCCAAAGACAGCAATGGAAAACGAGAGAAGAACGACAGGTGACAGCTTCCCGTCACCAGCATTTAGCAACTAATTGCATTTTTTAGGCGAAATATTTTCATTTCTGGACATGTGCCAAAGAATAGCGTTGTAAAAACTTACTACTACTATTGAAGCTAGCTAGGTCTGTGGGTGAGAGGGATTCGTTTACGAAATTTGTGTTGAATACGAGACTTAGCCATAAACACTCTTAGCTTAGCTTTTAATCCTACCTCAAATTTCAGCTTAATTTTCTATTTCTAATCTTCCATTATATGATCTTGTGACGTGAGATAACTTAAAATAGATAAATACTTATTAAATTATTATACGATAACATGATGAATTATTATTATGATAGAAAAGTTGGTTTAAACAATATTTATTGCAATATTAACAATAATTTTGGATAATATGTGTTTGTGTATATTAATTCTACACAATAATGTGATAGAAATAGTAACAATGTGAAAGAAAAGAAGTAGCAAATATTAGCAAAATGAAATGTTAGCATGCAAACAAATAATCCGAGCTATAAAAAGAAAGATGGAAATTCATTCCCAGTATTATCGCAAACATGAAAAAGTTATAAAATTAACATCGCACAAATAAATTACTAACAGACATGTGTAGGATTAAGCCTGTACGAAATGAAATAGGCCTCAACGTCTCCATGAGTAAATGGTGTAAGATTTTCGCTCATTCATAGAGGAAATCAGCTGACAAACAGCTGTTTGTTAGCTGCTTATAACAATTGGTAAGAAATGTAAAGGATGAAAGAAGAGAATTAGGTGCCTAGAAATGCAAGACATCATTGATATATTAAGAGTTAGTTCGAAATTCACTCGAATTTATGAAATATTTTTGAAAAAAAAACAACAAAATGTTCAAAACTTATATATTTTTCCCTTCTTAATGAGTGAAACGAATTATAACATTAGCAATGATTAAGAGGGATAAGAAAAATGATGTGATAGAGAGGGAGAGAGAGAAAGCATAGAGATCGTTGAGTGAGGAAGCATTATTGAAGAGGATCAATTTTGATGGAAATATCATGAACCACAAACAGCTGGAACATTTACGAGATTGGAACAGAAGTAGGAATTGAGAGGAAAATTACGAAGGAAGAATTTTAGTAAAATGAAGGAGTACGATGAATGATAGTTATTATCTTTTTTTTTTGTAGAAGTTCAAGAAAAGATAAATATAAAGTAGTGATTGTCTTTGCTCTTTCTTATTATATGTACATTTGCGAAATTAATCGATTTTTTTATTGTTTCAAGTTATTAAAATGGAAAAAATTAAGTAACTTATTTTTTATACTCATGTAGGATGTGTTTTTATGTGGAATTTCTACGAAAACGGAATTATTCTTTTGTCACAATTTTTGCATACCTCGCTGATATTTAAATTTGAATGAGCAATTTGAGTCAATAACAAATATTACATATGAATGAATACGTTATGTGTCAATATAATTGTGCATTAATACATGTTATTGCAAGAATGTCTGAATTTTAGACTTGGGCTCACGTATACGTAATCGTATTCGTGATCATCGATGCCTTCGGAGGCGAAGAAACGACGTGATGCAGCAAAGAAACAGGCAGCTAAAAATCGTACTAAAGTCCGCGATCAAAAACTGGTAAGCTATCTAACACAGTTAATTTCCGTTTCTCTAGAGCCATTTTATTGGGATTATGGTAATTAGTGAATTGAATTTTTATCTTACTTGTTTGGAAAATGAAATATAAACAAAGAATAGTATATGATATCCATGTAAAGTAGTTAAAAGAGTAGTATAATAATCGAATGATACCTACATTCTTGTACATTAATATAAGTACTTTGCTATGTACCAAAAAGAGTACATTAGTAGGATGTTTAGATAAGTTTGAACCAAGACACAAGTTTGGTTTCCTACATATATATAGTATGATATAAATATATGAAACTTCATCAATGTAATTTAATTAAAAGATGGAAGAATAATCCTATATTGTATTTAATATAAATGCCATACAAATATTTATTACAGTTATAATTTATGCTAAAAATGTTGATTTACTATTTTACACAATCAAAGAAATATGAAATATGTAAAATAATAAGTTAACGTTTTTTTTTTAATCAAAGAAAGAACCGTTATTGTGAGCTCCTTTCAAGGGATAAATACTTGAACTTGTTAATGGAAATTATGTTGCATGAAGGACACGTCTCGCAGAGTATGTGGAATAACAGTTAAGATATTAATATTTACATGTGCTTATAGTGTAATTTTTGTATTGTATGTCTATTGTAGACTTTCGGATAATGTATTTGCAGGAGAATAAGGAAAGTATCGGATCACCTACTCGAGAGCAAAGCCAACACATGCAAAATGGTGGTAATCATTTATTAAATCTTACTAAGTTTTTATTGTTACTGATGCTGTGGTAAAAAGTTTGACAATAAGATTGATGTAGTAGAAATGTTACTATAGTACAGGTTCCAACATAATAGGGTTTTTGCGTTTGTTCAGTAAAAAGTGGATTACGGTGAAATCACTTGTCATAAATATCCTTTCTTGATGTATAAGAAAATAGTTTATCCATAAATCAGTGAAGATTGTAAAATATTGAAAATAAATGACTACTTATACAGACACTTTCTTAGGAGCTTCATCTATGAATGATGTTATCGATGTAGCTGCTGCGATGTTGGAGAAAATGGAATTGGAAAATGCAAAAGCACGATCAGTTGTAGGAGCATTGACTTCTCATCCGTTGTAATTTTTTTGGAAAAAACTTTGTCAGTACGTAGGAAAAATTTAAAATGAAAATACTTCGAAATAACTCTGCTAGGTGGATTGTGATCGAACCACTTGTCATAAATAAAAAAATATATTGGGATCAGATCATTTTTCTGAAGCTTTTTTTCACTCAGTTTATATAAATATTAAATAAAATCTGATTGATTATGAGACTGAAATTAATATTCTTTCGTAAAATTTCTGGAAGTTATATAAATTCAGATCTATGGATCTCAAAATAGAAGGACTGACGGTGACATTTCACGGACGTGAAATTGTGACGGACACAAAACTTGAATTAAACATGGGACGCCGTTATGGTCTTATTGGTTTAAATGGAAGTGGTTAGTCTTACGAATGATTTCTTTTTAAAAAGTCGTTGTTTTAATCTGTTCAGCATATTTTCTTACTCTCTTATTTTAGGAAAGTCTACTTTAATGCAAGCCATATTTCGCCGGGAAATGTCAATTCCTGATCATGTGGATATGTTTTTGGTATCTCGTGAAATGGCTGCTTGTAATGATAGTGCTCTAAAGGTGTGTACATTTTAAATATTTTGGGTTATTACGAATTTAGTAAACGCAGTGAAGAAACAAATATGGATTTCAATTTAGTCAGAAATCATTGAAGGTGGTGTACGATGTTGATGAACAGAGAAAAGCACTTGAGAAGCAAGCTGAGGAACTGGCGGCTTCGTCGGACGATGGTTCGTAATTTTAGTTGTAGTTAAGAAAGATTTTTTGGTTAAAATATATCCAATATTTGTTTTATAGAAAGTCAGGAAAAGCTATTAGATGTTTATGATCGCCTGGAAGAAATGGATGCTGATAAAGCGGAAGCAAAAGCTGCAGAAATACTACATGGTCTTGGTTTCACTAGGCAAATGATGCTTAAAAAATGCAAGGATTTTTCAGGTGTGCATAAATTTTGGGGATTTTATTATTCATCATAAAGCTATCTTATTTTAAATTCGGTTATGAACATAAAGTATGTTCTAGGAGGTTGGCGAATGCGAATTGCATTAGCACGAGCACTGTATCTAAAACCATCATTGCTGTTGCTTGACGAACCAACTAATCATCTTGATTTGGAGGCTTGTGTGTGGCTTGAGAAAGAGCTAGCGGCGTATGTAAATTCATTTTTTACCATTGATTATTAGTTAGTGATTGATTGGAAAACATCAGATTTTGCTTGGAATTTCTTGATAATTATTGCCGACACCTACTGTTTATAACGCATAACTTGTGTCACAGTTTAACATATCTGGTTGAAGGATGATAGAAGCTTAGGGCGGTCACTACTTTTATTTGGTCTTTCTCCTAAAGCGGTGAATTATTAATCTTTGTATATTTTTAAGATATAAAAGGACTTTGCTGATCGTTTCACACTCACAGGATTTTATGAATGGTGTCTGCACAAATATCATTCATTTGTTCCAAAGAAAATTAGAGTATTATGGAGTAAGTTTAATTCGTAGTATCTCGAAGTTATAACAGTTTTAAACTTTTGATCTTTTGTAGTAAACATTTGGAATATGGAAAGAAGAAGAAAAAGAATGAAAAAGAACGAAAATTGTTTTATTTGAATTGTATTATGCACTTTAGCTGCACCTGGAGAAGAGGTCGTAGTATAGCCGTTTGACCATTTATTTGGCTGTCAGGGATGATCCATGGAACAGAGTTAATGAACATGAAATATTTCCAGGGTAATTATGATACATACGTACGTACTCGGACCGAATTGCTTGAAAATCAAATGAAGCGTTACAAATGGGAACAGGACCAATTGCAGCATATGAAAGTTAGTATTTGTGGATTTATTTTTTCTTGGTCTTCAATTTATAGTCTAGATATATTCTCAACTGGAGTCATCCTCGTAAAATTTAATCGTAAAATTTTGTGCAGGAGTACATTGCTAGGTTTGGGCATGGTAGCGCCAAACTTGCCCGCCAAGCTCAAAGCAAAGAAAAAACGATGGCTAAAATGGTAGCTATTGGATTAACCGAAAAAGTTGTTACCGAAAAGGTTGGTTTTATATATTTCTATTTATTTCCTGGTGCTGTAAATTTCTTTAGTAAAGATAAAGCAACAAATTTTTATTTCCATCCATCTTTCAGGTAAAGCAGTTTTACTTCTTTGATCCCGGTACAATTCCACCTCCGGTTATAATGGTACAGCATGTATCTTTTCAATATAATGAAAAAACTGTAAGTACTATTTTATCTTTGAATAAATTAGTTGTTGTTCGTCAGAATTCAAAAGTTTAATTCTGTAAAGATACTGGATATTAATAGTTTTTCTTGAAAATGCTTGCAATTTTAGAGAGAATAGATTTGCTAAATTACAAAGTAATTGCTTAAATATCAGGCAGAACGATCGCACTCTTTATTTTTAGACCTAGTAAATATGCGAAGAACCAATGCAGCTATACATTTCAGCCATTAATTTACAAAGATCTCGATTTTGGAATAGATCTTGATACTCGTATTGCACTAGTTGGCCCAAATGGAGCAGGGAAGTCAACATTATTGAAATTGATATCAGGAGATGTGATGCCATCAAATGGTCTTATAAGACGTCATTCACATTGCAAAATAGGACGCTATCATCAAGTACGTTTGGTGATGACAATAAGAAAAGCAACAGTCATTACTTCTTGAGTTTATATTTTCATTAATTGAATCAGGTCTTTCATTCCGGTATTTTTATATTTTTTCCGATAGTAGTCTTGCTGTAAGTACTATTTTATCTTTGAAAAAAATTAATTGCTCATCAGTACTCGAAAGTTTAATTTTGTCACTGGATATTAATAGTAGCTTTGTCTATTTCAGTTTGATAATTTATCTCAATGATTTAATTCAACTGCCTTACATTAGATGATTTGTTTCAATAATTCAAACGTGCACTTAATTTATAGCATTTACACGAAGAATTACCACTGGAAAAGTCTGCCTTGGAATATTTGATGATGTCATTTCCAGAAGTTAAAGAGAAAGAGGAGATGAGGAAAATTATCGGACGTTATGGATTGACTGGACGAGAGCAAGTATGTTCATGAATTAATTATAAGATCTGTACTGTTTATGCTATTATATATCTTCATTAAGAACATTTATTTCATTTTTCTTCGGATGGTGAGTTTATTCTTTTTCGCTATTAGATAAATTTTTAAAGGTTTGCCCGATGAAGCAACTCTCAGATGGACAACGCTGTAGGGTATCCTTTGCTTGGTTGGCATGGCAACAACCGCATCTTTTATTGCTCGATGAACCTACCAATCATCTAGATTTGGAAAGTATTGATGCATTGGCGGAAGCAATTAATTGTTTTCGAGGAGGAATGGTTCTGGTTTCGCACGATTTTCGATTAGTGCATCATGTAGATTTCTTATTTGATTTATATTTCTAGATTCCCTTTCTCTTTTGTTTTTTCTTCCTTTTTTTGGTAATGTAAGTTTTCTTGGATAGAATCATTTATATCGCTTTTAATATTAACACATCGATAATTTTACATTCTTATGTAAATTAATGATTTTGTTAGTTAATCATTTTTTTAGGTGGCTGAGGAGATATGGGTATGTGATAAACAAACAGTTACAAAATGGAATGGTGATATTTTTACATACAAAGATCATTTGCGTAAGGCAATCGACAAACATTGTTCGGAAGTGGTAGAACGATAGTATTTCATTCTGATTACCGTGCCAATTCATATTGCATTATAGGATTCGTTCTAATGAAAAGATTTACTCGATAAATGTTAATCTTTTTTCACTTGCTTTACATGAAAGTATTTTGTTCATGACAGCATATTTAGCTCAATTCTTATCGCACTTCTTTTCAACTCTTTCCAATATTTCTTAAATTCTCTTTTTAAGACATATATCATATTTTTTACTTCCTGCTATAATGAATTATACGTTTCAGTGAATTTTGAAGGAAATGTCTTGATTAATGCACTATCATCAGCTGATGATGAAGTATGTGTCTCTTATTTTGTCTTATTTTTTGTTTGAAAAAACGATGAAGGTTGTTGATTTATTCATGAACGGTATAAACTAAAACAGATCGCTTTATCATCATTTATCCTAAATGACCACGGACAATTTATAGTAGCTATTAAAGCGAGACATGAAGATCGATCGTATTGTTTATTATATGTTAGAAAATAATAGATCGGACAGCAGTGTGATATTCTTCAACATCGAGAAATGCTATCCAGTTATTATTCTTTGGAGGAGCCATATTATGATTATTAATCTTTAAAAAAAACTCTTTAACGTAGCTTATTTCCAGTTAACGTAGAAACGATCACTTAAACAATTCATCAAGCTCTTACCACTTCAGAGTTTTAATAATCGATTATTTATATGATCAAAATGAAGTCTGCCATATTTTGTCTACTGATACTAAAATTTATGCCATGGCGTTATTAGCAGATTTTTATCACATATTCGAACTCTTACCCATACTTAACACATTTAATTTTACAATATTAAATTTCATTAAGTTTTTATTCATCAAGTTTGATTGTCATCAAATTTCATTTATTATCATCTTTCTATAGAATTCCAAATTTTATACCAACGTATTGATATGGTGAACGAAAATTGCAGAAAGAAGGAGAAAGAGAGAAGGTGAGTGAGGAAAAATTTTTAAATTTTTTTCTCATTCTCGTCTTTTCATCTAATCGGCAAATTAATACAAATTAATAGAAAAGATGAGATCAAAAAGCGCCGAAAATGGACGCATTGAATGCCTATCAGTTTGTTTAGTTGATAAATAAATGATGGAGAGCGAGAGAGAGAGATGGAAAGGAGGATTTGAGTAAATTTGTGATAGGATGTTGAAAACTTCGTAACAATTTCATATGATATGTATATGATCAAGTTGGAATTCCTCGGTAAGTCATCCATTTCCGGAATATGAATAAGAAAGCGGAAAGTAGAAAGAATAAATACGAGTAGAGAGAGAAAAAAGAAGAGATAAAATGTTTTACTATAAAACTGGACCATGTATATTTCATTTCTTTGTTGTAATATGATGATAAATATTTGTGTATCATCATTTTAGCTGATACAATTTTTATCCCGTTTCACACCTTCACTTTCTTCTTTTCTTTTTAAGTAATTAGCAAAAATTTGAATTTGTGAAATTGGACAGTAGAAATTTGTGTGAAATTCAACAGCGAAAGTTTAGTTTTGTGAAATTGAACAATCCCATGAGGATATACATATCAGCAAATTCATGAAATGGCAAAAATCTAATATTTGATAAATGATGTTCAATATTACAGAATTCATCAAATACGTAAATACCGAAAATTTTTTTCAACAACCTTCTGGTTGGTGCAAACAATACTATCATTAAAATTAATTGGTGATTAACTTTCTAAAGTTTTAATTTAAAAAATTTTAAGGAATATTGTATTAATAAATTTTGACAGCAATGTTAGACAGAAACATTAAGAATTATGATGCAATAATGTCTTCGTTTTTTTTCAGTTAACGCTAAATTTCTTCAGCGAACAAAAGGAAATGTTATTAATGAAAATGGAAGGTCATTCGAGTTTCTTAATTATTTCATCTTTCAACTAAAATTAAATGTCACTGTCAATTTTGAATTTTTACAATTTAAATTTGTTAGAGATATTTCTGTCCTGAAAAAATTGCAATACAAAGATGGCAAAACTGTAGTAGAAATTTAATTTGGGATTAAATAAAACGAATAAAGAAATTAGAAAATATTCGTCAAGTTTAGACGCTTATTGAATGTAATTAAAAAACTAAAAGATTTATTTGAAAATTTTATTTAATAGAATTAAAATTTAATCTTTCGAAGTTGTCATCAATAGTGCACACATTGGTTGTATTATAAATGAAAATAGAATGTTATGAGATAGTTATGAGAAATTGAAAAATATGATACAGTGTTAATAAATCTTTTAAACTTCTCAATTAAATTTCCATCATATTTTCGATCATTTTCGATTTTATTTATTTATTTTTTTTTTACTTTGCCACACGTCAAAATTTGCCAATTTATTTTTGGCAAATTTCAGAGTAATTAATTTTTAAAATTTAAATGTTTTAAATGAAAATAAATTTGAATATAAATTAAAATTTGTTTTCATCTATTAAATATTTTGTAATAACAGAAACAATATGAAAAAACTTCAATATGGGAAAGTTTGTTTTAACTGAAACGGAATTTACTGATG